TGGAGGATCTTGGAGGTGACGAGGACAGTCTTCGACACCCCATAGAAACCACAACAATGTGATAGAACGAGTTGAAGCCCTTCAAATCCGAGCCTCTACCCTAGGGTTCCCTGCCCCGATTAAGAGAATGGCCTTGAAAATAGGTGGAACCAAACTGGCCTCATGTTGGCTCCGTTTTGCATCTACCGTCACTCCTAGGTTTCGATAGGGGAAGCCAACTCGTTTTTTTTGTTGGAGGGCGGGGGGGGCGGGGCAAGGGAGGGATTGGACAAAGCCGCAGGACGTTCAGTTACCCGAGGAAGCCTGGCAGACAGCCATCGCCAAGGCCATTTTGATGTATTCAGGGAGTGGATATTCCCGCGATTTGTGAAGGTTCGACAGGGGAAAGTCGCGTGTAAAAGGCCCAAAAAAATTGCCTCTAGATTCCCTTCAAAACACAGGGCCCTCTGTTTTTGAGAGGCGCCCGAATGAGTTGGAAGGACCCCGAAGAGAAAAAACCGCTCCCGATGTGGTGTTCTTCATTCCGAAGACCCGGGCTCGGTCATTTTTCTACGGAGCACCAGCCAGATTTTAAAAGACCCCTTCCAGCACCCCCCAATGGCTGGCCAATTGCCGGCACATCGATTTTGGGCAAAACGATGTCACTTTATGTCTAAGTGACTGCAAAAGCAATTTGCTATCAATTATCACTCATCTGTACTTAGTGCAATTTGTGCAATGATACAAGTGACCTTTCAAGGTCCTTTGGAATGGGGTTGCAGGGGAAAGGGGAGAGCAGCTAATTTGAGGTTTGGAGGGCAAGTTTGAGGTTGGGAGGGGTTCTTGAGGAGCGTGTCACGGCGTGTCACTGCGTGTCGGGGGGTGGCCAATTGCCGGCACATGTACGTTGAACGGTCACTTTTTTGGGATATGAGCGTGTCACCACCGTGTCGCCCCCCCCTCCCCCCCCCACCGTTGCATGTGCAATCATCATACATGTCAGCCCAACCCCTCAATTGGATCCCCTCTAGTATCCGGAAGTGACGTTTCAACAAAAGTGACTTTTCACTGCACTTTGATGATGGCAAACAAATCCATGTGACTACAAAACTATTTTAAGGCAAGTGCTGGTCAATTGCCGGCACTTCACCCGGGACGCCAATTACCGGCCATCGGGGGGGCCTGGTTAAGAGTGCTCGGTGGACGTCAAGTCCCACCAACAAATGAGGTCCACCATTTTGGGCCCCCGAGGAATACCCACTTGTTTGTAAAAACCCTCGTTCCCCCCCCCCCCCGACATGGGTTTCCTAGATTTCCCGCAAGCGGTGGTTTTCGGAGTTCACATGTCAGGCCATTTCAAAGTAAGCTTTCTTTGAGTAGGTCGATGCTCAAGGGGAAACATGCCAGTATACTACAGTTTACTCACTCCCTGAGTGGCTGGACTTCTAAGTTTTGGCAGAACTTGAGAGTAAACAAGTTTGGATTTTCTGTCCGCCGGGACGCGAGAAATTAGGGCGGGTTTTTCATGGTGCCTGCTTCGTTGAACGTTTTTCGATCTGGCCGTGGATTTCCTGACCAAATCGGTGGGTAGAGAGCCCTAGGGCCCCAGGGTTCTTCAGGCTTCCGTAGGCTTGCCTCAGGGAAGCTTTCTTGGACCACCCATTCTTGGGGTTCAGTAAGGAGATTTAGATATGTTTCTTTGGATTCCATTTTTGAGCAGCGTTCTAAGTAATGTTGGGGAGTGAATAATAAAGCCCCCCCCCCAAACAAAATGGGGGGGGTCAATAGAGGAAACCCTAAAACAAAATGAGGGTCAGACCGGGTCTTCCCTAAGTAGTATTCCAGTAAGTATTGCTTAGAATTGGTTTAGTATTGGTTTAGTATTCTTGCTGACTGGCTTAGTACTGCTTAGAATTGGTTTAGTATTGGTTTAGTATTCTGGTTTGGTTCAGTAGTTCTTTGGAAAGGACACTTCCTTTTCTGGGGAGACTCAGTAGTTCTTTGGAAAGGGAAGCCCTTTTCCTTGCAGGCATCCCTGGCCTCAGTCCTAAACAACTTTTCTCAATTAACTCCCCTTAAACAAATCTCATTATTGGCTTCCTGGGTGTTCCCTGTACTGCCCCCTTGAAAATTTGGCAGGGTGCAACTTTTGGAAAGGGCTGTCATAAAGAATTTGGCTGTTGGGGACCTCAGTTAAACTTCCTTTTCAGGGACTTCAATCATCATCTCCTTGTTTCTTGCATCTGACAGGCAAGACACCAAAGGTGGAAAGGTAGGGTGGTGGTGGTAGGTTGGGGGGGGCGGGCGGGGCAGAGAGAGACAGGAGTTGCACTGAACTAGGGATTAATTACCAAACTTTTTTTGGGGGAACATGTTTCCGGATTTTTGCCCCTCACAAAAACTTTTGTGTATTAACTCCCCCTTTTGCTTTTCAGGGGTGTGAATAATTTGTGTTTTTTTTTGTGTATTGACTCCCCATTTATTATTCGCAACCTAACATTACCCTGCAATTGAAAGTAGTATTCGAGACAAATTGTGGATTGGTTTTTTCCCTAGGTCGCGGAAGGCCGCGTAAGGGTTCGCGGAAGGGTTTGACCACTTACCCACTCGCGAAAGGTTCCCGTAGCCCGCTTGGATGCCTTCTACGAAGTTGTTGCCTTTCCACAGCTTTTAAGTGGTTTCGCTGTGTTCGCGTAAGCACGAAAGCACACCAAAACTAACTTGAAGAAAAACCTAAATCCGCATAAGCGCCGCGTAGGCGTTTGCAATGTAGACACCGCTCGCGCAAGCTACCCCTCGCAGCCGCGGAAGCCCCGCGTCGGCCTTCGCGCAAGCATTTTCTTAGTGTCTCTGGTCCGCACAATGATTTACAGTAGAACAATGCTCATCTGGCTTTCACTAGAAACGCCCCCCTGTTAGCTTCCACCAGTGGAGAGTGGGTACACCCATGGGTTTCGCCGATTCTGGGCTGTATCCATATGTATGTGTATATACACCCCACCCCCAAAACAAAAAAACACATGAAACAAACGCGCCTGCTGCTTCTGTAAGGGGTCAAGTCACTTTGGACAGATATTACCAAAAGTCACAATTTTAGCAGACCTTCGCAGATGATTCATGAAGACTTTGCCACCCATATATAAATAGTGTTTGCCCTTCTACGTTCTGAACAAGTCTTTATCATTTCCAAGCATTTCATATATATATATATATGTTGTGGTCATAAACTTAATCTATTTCAACACAAGTGCATTAGACAGTTAGAATCGTGAAGTTAGGACAGGGTCTAGACAACAATATGTCATACATACATCTCTGAAGTTTTCGAAAATGACGAACACATTTGCTGTCAAATAGAATTCGTGATGTTCTCAATGTGTTCAGATTAATTGTGTTTAGGCATAGTCTTCATCGCTCATGTTATTCTCGCTCAATTGACTGTAAAACATCTCTATGAGGGTACCGGTGCAAGTGTATCAAACACCAAGGCAAACCCTACCTCTTCTGCTTTGCATACCCATCTTCGATTTCTCATCTCAACTGATGTGCAAATCCTCTTCGTCTGTCAACTTACAACCCTGTGGCAATACCAAAACATCTACTACGCATCCTCCATCTCTCATCTCAACTCATCTGCAAATCCCCTTCGTCTCTCAGCTCACAAACCTTGGCCAATACCAAAACATCTGCTGGTCGCATACCGGACCCAATTCGAGATCTAGAGTCCTGAGAATGTTGAATCTTGAATCTTAGATCCCAAAGTATTTTAAAGCGCTTTAAAGCGTTTTAGGTGGATACTGTCACAGTCAAATGTCAGCAGATGCGGGCATAGTTGAATGCTGAAAAGTTGGAGTGCCTGAAAAGGGGGCGGGCATCGCACAAAAGTACTGCACATGCCATCAAATTCCTTTGGGGCGTCGGTTTTGGGCGGGAGTGTACCATAATATATATATATATATACATATTAATATATACATAGATATATACACACATATATATATATATACACACATAGATATATACATATATATATATATATATATGTATACATATGCACATAAATAACGCCTGATTGTTTTGGAGCATTTTGGGGTCATTTCTCCAGGGATCCCCGGCCGTAGGTGGAACCTTAGACCAACGGAGACGAAAGAATCGACGGAAGATTGGGTTAGAGTCAGAAGGAGAGGTGTCCTTTTCGGTTGGTTTGGTTGAAAAAAATGTTTGGTTGGTTTTGGTTGGTTTGGTTGGTTTTGGTTGGTTTGTTTAGCGATTCCTGGTTTACCTGGCTCCATCAATAAACCGCCCGCCATTTTCCATCGAGGACGCCTGGTCGGGAGCTGAGATTTCCCCCATTCGCAGGTGGCAAAGAAGATCTTGCAAGAGCAGAGCCCACGGATGGCAATGGAGGCGGGGCCACGTATGCACAAATTCACCGAGGCCCACTTGGACATCGGACTCTTCTTGCAAAAACGGTGGGTGGTGCAACGGAAGGGCCAGGCGGTATCCTGAATCTGCCATGGTTTAAAGTGGCTTTTTGTTCCATCAAATTTCAGGCTTAGACACCCTGGCCCTATTTTTAGTGGCGTTTTTCACTGTCCTGTCAAACACTTCCCACATGCTTTGGGGGGGCTAGATCCCGCCTCTGACATTTTGTGTGTGTGTGCCCTCTCTCACGCCGGCTTGGTTCAGGGGATCTTGGGGCAGAGTTGGTCCGAGCGCTCGGGTTCCCGAGTTGCCCCCACAAGAAAGGCCCAAGGGATTGGACAATCCCGATTTGGAGGAGAATCCTGGACGTAAATGAATGGCGGTTAAATGAACCCTAGGGTTCCTTGCCCCAAGTGAAGGATTGGTTGACCCAATTTCTATGACGATGCTTAGGTAAACCATAGTGGTTACATAAACCCCCGTTGTTTTCATGGCAACTGAATCCCAGGGATTGAAGTTGCAAAGATGGCCGATTCCATCTTGGACCGGCCCGTGCCGTTGGAAAGAAGGGCATCCAAGGAAGGAGCCTTTGGATTTGACCACCTGTGTGATCTGAAGGTGTTTTTTCCCTATTTTTCTGGTTGGGTCAGGGTCCACCACCCAATCCGGTCCTGCGCTGGACCTTGACAGGTGCGAGGGAATATCTACGAGCTCCTCCTAGCGTGCCTGCCGGCGGACTTCATCCTCAAGGTTTGGCCCGTTCCTTTGGAATTCGCATGGCACCCGGGCTGGTTCCTTGAGTTTCTTCCCCTGAAAGCTATGGGGCCTCTGCCAGGATTTAGGCGATAAGGGGTGGTTTGGGAGGGTTCCGGAGGGTTCTAGAGTGTGGGCTGTTGGGGATATCACCTGGGCTTACTGGACTAAACCACTACATGTTTTACTTTTAGCGAAGGATCTGGGAACAGCCCAGTTAACCCCTGTGAATGCCAGTGAACTCCTTTGCAAACCCGTTTGTGAACCCTTGTAAGTGGGTGGAACAGACCGAACCATTGAGTTGAATGCAATTCCATCTAGCAAACGGTGCCATCGTGTTTTTCATGTCTGTTGTGTTTGCTTACCTTTCTTTGACTCCAGGTAGGTCAGTTTTGTGCGGGAGAACGCCCGATTCTAGTTGTGTCGGGGTTATTGATTGCAACTGGAAACATGTGCTTCGGTCGGGAATGAGTTGGAACCCCTTCCTAAATCCCAGAGGGTTTATTCCCAAAAAGGACTGCGAATCTTTCAGGATCCCTACTTTAAGGATCCTCCATGGTTCATTTCCGAAGGCTTCATTCCTATCCCCGAACCTTCCGGCACGGATGTAATTCCAAGGATTGAGCGAGTCCTGGCCATTCTTGAAAGGAGTTAGGTCGAATGAATCGGTCGCGGCTACTTCGAGCCGGCCTCGGAATCGAGAGGATGCTGAGAGGAATTCCTTCCCTCATGAACGCCCCCCCCCCTCCCCCCGTAGCCGACAGGTATTTCCACGTAGATTTGGAGGTATGGATGCTATACTACCAATATGGGTGTTTTTTTTGAGGGTCCCCCTTTTGGTTGGTTTTCAAAGCGAGACCCACAGGAAACCCACAAATTTGGACAGTCCGACCGTAACAAACACACCCATATAAGCTTCAAGCCCCTATGCCGCATAGCTCCACACCCATACCTGAAGCCCGACAGAACTGAGAGAGCCATTTTTGTTGTTTCCAAGGTCGGACCCCTCAAGAAACCCAATTTTCCTTGTGGCTTCCCGTGAAAAACTACGGAAAAAAACCGGGGTGGGGGGGGGGGGTACAACTCCAAGAAAAGACGGAAACAACAAACACAACGCAAAAACGGGGAGGGGGGGAGGGGAGTCCGGACGGAGCCCATGAGGAGCTTCTGCGGGTCCTCCTCTCCGAGCTGCGGAATGACTTGGTGAAGCAGAAGGTGCGGTTCGAGGGGTCCGTCCTCAACGAGCTTTGTGTCCAGCCGTAATAAATGCTGGCAATAGATGCAGCAGACACTTTTATAGGAAGAAGCTTATGTAAACAAGACATAGAGTTATACCTGGACATTCTTGTGGTACACAATTTTCGCCGCTTCATGAAACAGCAAAATAAAACAGCGCTTTGCGCAAAATTGGGCGGTTTCTTCAAGAATTGCCGCTTCAGAAAAGCCACATGGAAAACCGCCGGTTCAAGCGTACATTAACCTCTCGGTTTTGCCCTTTATCTCTGCTCTGGCTCCTACTTTGCCCGCAGCGGCTTTCGGCTGGCCTGGGCCTTGGCTCGATACCTCCGGTGAAGGGCTCGAGCTTTCACGAGGTAGAGTTGCAACACCCGCTTCAACAATTGCTTATCTTGAAATCTTGCCAACTAGGTCTTCGTTTTGCTCACAGCTGTGTATGAGCGGGTTTTTGATGGCACCTTGCCTCAGGAGAGCTTTGATTTCAACAAGTGTGTGCACTTGTGGCTTCATGGCCGACCCTGCAAATTTGAGTTCCCGAAGAGCGACACCTGCCAGTCGCGCATAAGGCTGCTGGAACTTGCAGCGCAGGCTTGGTCTGACCAAAGCCCATGCTGATATAGAGCACTTGCGGGAATTTAGCAGCAATCTCGCTTCCACGGCGCATCATGCGCAAGAGTGGGTGATCAAGTGGCGCTTGAATAAAGCCGCCAATGATGGCAACCAACCATTCCAAAGTAAGCATAACATCAGAGCCTCAGAGCCCTGGACATTAAACCATGGATAGCTATCCTTCGATTCAAGGCGAAACACAAACTTGTGATACTCAGCCATCACGCGGGCCCATGTCTCAGCTGGGTCACTTCAAAATAGGATATGAAGACCCAAAGAAACGCTCACAAACAGTGTCAATTGAACTGGCTGCATAGTTGGCCTTACTATTCCTCAGGGAACTTGCGCAGATCAATTTTGGGGACTGTAAATACAACGGAATCCCTGGGGGGTCAATTTCTGAGGCACTCAATTTCTTTTTGAAAGGTAAATCAATACTCAATTCCTGAGAGGAGTTCTGAGGGCGGTCAGTCATAGAATCCTGAGGGGGGCGGTACCAAAAACCCCTACGTGAGTCCATAATTAACAATTGTTTTTTGTGTCTGCTTGAAGCTCCTTTTCAAAGCAATTAATTTACAAATCCCTGACAGAGCCAAGTATCAGGTAGCTATGTATACTAGTTTTGTTCTTGCGTTCTCTTGGTCCACGAAAGCCCCTTTGCCAAATGCCAGAGAAAGAGTCGCATTGTGACATTGGGAGCGCAAGTTTTGAGAGGAGTGCTGGGGGGGGTCAGCACTAAAGTCCTGAGGGGGGGGTGAGTACTCAACCACACAGAAAAGTGAGGGCGATTTCTCACAGTTGGTCTTTGTAGGGCCAAAGAGCGTAAACACAAGCATCAACCTCCTCGTCATCCTCGTGAACCGCGGAGACTGATTAGGGAAACTTCTTCCGCCCTGGTCACTTGCAAGCGGTCTTTTGAGGGATCCAAGAAAACAAGGAAAAAAGGGAAATGCATCATGGTTGACCTTGCTGTTTCTGCACAGCACAAGGTCTTTCGCCGGTACTTGTCGGGAAGTTGAAGGCGGCTAACACGCACCACGTGGCTGGTTCCAACCCCACTGGTTGAGCATTGTGTCCTTCGACACGAACTCTCCTTCAATGATCAACTCATTCGATTCCATTTCCATACGGAGTGGCTCGCATGCCTGCTGGAAGGACCCTAAGATCAGGCGTTTCAGGCTACGGCTAATGAAAGCAAAGGGTCTCTGCAGAATCCACCTCACAGATCTTCTCAATGATTTTTTTGTGCCCCCTGCCATGCAGTCAGCAATGATGGCTTCGCTTCTTTGAAGGTCCCGTTTACCACCTTCGAAGCATTGATCGCCTCGCCGACGCCGACTGGCTTTGGCTTATTCTTGTTGGCGACAGCATCGTCCATGTAAGGGATGTCATTGTTGTTTTCTTCAGGTTCCTGAGAGTTCCCTTCATCATCTTCTGACTCACACTCATCCCAACGGCAGCGTGGCTGTGCTATCGAGTTTGCTCTTGAGATCAACCACATCCGCCTCAGCAAGAGAAGTGGGAGATGCTTCCCTGGCCAAAGGCGTGGGCTCTGCAGGCCAGGAACCTTTGCCCAAGGGAGTCTCTTTGGCAGGGGCGGTGTGCGCTTGGGTCGCAGCGAAGCTGGGCAAGCTGTAGACGGCCTGGGAAGGGCATACCCGTAGACCATAATCGCTTAACTGTTTATACCATCATGTTGCTGTTGCTCCGGGGCCAAGACACAGACTTCGAAGGACTGGGCGGAGCAAGTGGCTGAGCGTCCGTCCACTCTTTCTCTTCTTGTTCTTCCGATTCTTGAGTTCCTGGTGTTCCTTCTGGATAGCCGGTCTTGCAGCCCAGCAAGGAAAAGGCAAGGCGCTTCGAGTTCCATCAGCGTGGCACTGCTCCGCCAATTCCTCCGCACCTTTCTTGCCAACCCACGGATGCGCAGGCAAGGTGCCCCGTTGCTCGACAGTTCCTCAGCGGCCACCTGAGACTCCACCTTCCTCAGCGGCCGGATGCTATTCCCTCCCTTTCCAATCTTCAGGTTTGAAAGGGACCAGGGGCCACGGAGAGCTTCGCCAAATACATTCTATGCGTTTTTTTCGCGCAAACACTCAACTTGTCAAAAAGTGCGAAAAATGAAACGGCGATCTTGGGCGACCAACCGGCGATCTTTCGCGGCCAAACGGCGATCTTTCCCGAACCAGAAATTCGCAACATTTTAGGCCGTGGCTTGGCCCGTTTGCCCTTTTGCTCTTTTTTTTGCCGTGTTTGGGGGGTCGGCGCCAGGATGTTGCGCGCGAAGCCGTTTGAGCCACCAAAGCCGGTCAGAAAGGGCAAACGGGCAAAGCCACGGCCTAAAATGTTGCGAATTTCTGGTTCGGGAAAGATCGCCGTTTGGCCGCGAAAGATCGCCGGTTGGTCGCCCAAGATCGCCGTTTCATTTCTCGCACTTTTTGACAAGTTGAGTGTTTGCGCGAAAAAACGCATAGAATGTATTTGGCGAAGCTCTCCGTGGCCCCTGGTCCCTTTCAAACCTGAAGATTGGAAAGGGAGGGAATAGCATCCGGCCGCTGAGGAAGGTGGAGTCTCAGGTGGCCGCTGAGGAACTGTCGAGCAACGGGGCACCTTGCCTGTGCATCCGTGGGTTGGCAAGAAAGGTGCGGAGGAATTGGCGGAGCAGTGCCACGCTGATGGAACTCGAAGCGCCTTGCCTTTTCCTTGCTGGGCTGCAAGACCGGCTATCCAGAAGGAACACCAGGAACTCAATAATCGGAAGAACAAGAAGAGAAAGAGTGGACGGACGCTCAGCCACTTGCTCCGCCCAGTCCTTCGAAGTCTGTGTCTTGGCCCCGGAGCAAAAGCAACATGATGGTATAAACAGTTAAGCGATTATGGTCTACGGGTATGCCCTTCCCAGGCCGTCTACAGCTTGCCCAGCTTCGCTGCGACCCAAGTGCACACCGCCCCTGCCAAAGAGACTCCCTTGACCAGGTTCCTGGCCTGCAGAGCCCACGCCTTTGGCCAGGGAAGCATCTCCCACTTCTCTTGCCGAGGCGGATGTGGTTGATCTCAAGAGCAAACTCGATCGCGCAGCCACGCTGCAGTTGGGAGGATGATGAGTGTGAGTCGGAAGATGATGAAGGGAACTCTCAGGAACCTGAAGAAAACAACGATGAAATCCCTTACATGGACGATGCTGTCGCCAACAAGAATAAGCCAAAGCCAGTCGGCGTCGGCGAGGCGATCAATGCTTCGAAGGCGGTAAACGGGACCTTCAAAGAACCGAAGCCATCATTGCTAACTGCATGGCAGGGGGCGCCAAAAAGCATTGAGAAGATCTGTGAGGTGGATTCTGCAGAGACCCTTTGCTTTCATTAGCCGTAGCCCGAAATGCCTGATCTTAGGGTCCTTCCAGCAGGAATGCGAGCCACTCCGTATGGAAATGGAATCGAATGAGCTGATTATTGAGGGATAGTTCGTGTCGAAGGACACAATGCTCAATCAGTAGTGGGGTTGGAACCAGCCACGTGGTGCATGTTAGCCGCCTTCAAGTTGCCGACAAGTACCAGCGAAAGACCTTATGCTGTGCAGAAACATTAAGGTCAACCATCATGTGCTTCCCTTTTTTCCTTGTTTTCTTGGATGCCCCAAAAAGCTGCTTGCAAGTGACCAGGGCGGAAGAAGTTTCTTTAATCAGTCTCCGCGGAACCACAAGGATCATGACGAAGTTCATGCTTGTGTTTACTCACTTTTCTATGTGATTGAGTACTCACCCCCCCCCCTCAGGACTTTAGTGCTGACCCCCTCTCAGAACTCCCCTCAGAACTTGCGCTCCCAATGTCACAATACGATTCTTTCTCCGGCAAACGAAAGAACAAACATAGTATACATAGCTACCTGATACTTGGCCCTATCGGGGATTTGTACATTATTTTCTTTGAAAAGGGAGCTTCAAGGAGACGCGAAAAACAATTGTCAATTATTTGATGGTTGGCCCTATTGCTTCCCGTGCACTTTCTCATTTGGCTTCGGGGGGCTCAAGTAGGGGTTTTTTGTACCTCCCCTCAGGATTCTATTGCTGACCCCCTCAGAACTCCCCTCGGAAATTAAATGCTGACGGTATAGTACTGTCTCAGAAAGTGAGTACTGATTTCCCCTTCAAAAAGAAATTGAGTGTCTCAAAAATGGAGTACTGACCCCAGAAATTGAGTACGGGATTCCGTTGTCCCAACAGTCCCCAAACTTGATCTGCGCAAGTTCCCTGAGGAATAGTAAGGCCACCTCACACCCTTCTTTGAAGTGACCCAGCTGAGACATGGGCCCGCGTGATGGCTGAGTATCACAAGTTTGTGTTTGCCCATTTCGCTTCTCCCCTCGCCTTGTGCGCCATCTGAATCGAAGGATAGCTATCCATGGTGCAATGTCCAGGGCTCTGAGGCTCTGATGTTATGCTTACTTTGGAATGGTTGGTTGCCATCATTGGCGGCTTTATTCAAGCGCCACTTGATCACCCACTCTTGCGCATGATGCGCCGCGGAAGCGAGATTGCTGTTAAATTCCCGCAAGTGCTCTATATCAGCATGGGCTTTGGTCAGACCAAGCCTGCGCTGCACGCAGGCTATGAGTTCCAGCAGACTTACGCGCAACTGGCAGGTGTCGCTCTTGGGGAACTCAATTTTGCAGGGTGGGTCATGCCACAAGTGCATTCTTTCAACCACACACTTGTTGAAATCAAAGCTGTCCTGAGGCAAGGTGCCATCAAAAACCCGCTCATACACAGCTGTGAGCAAAACGAAGACCTAGTTGGCAAGATTTCAAGATCAAAAGCAATTGTTGAAGCGGGTGTTGCAACTCTACCTCGTGCAAGCTCGAGCCCTTCACCGGAGGTATCGAGCCAAGGCCCAGGCCGGCCGAAAGCCGCTGCGGGCAAAGTAGGAGCCAGAGCAGCGATGAAGGGCAAAACCGAGAGGCGAATGTACGCTTGAACCGGCGGTTTTCCATGTGGCTTTTCTGAAGCGGCAATTCTTGAAGAAACCGCCCAATTTTGTGCAAGCAAGGCTCTGTTTTAATTCGCTGTTTCATGCAGTGGCAAAAATTATGGTCCATGGCCACTCGGCCACGCACCTGTAGTGCTAGGAGCGAAAAAGGGCAGGAGGGTGGGAGAGGCGCATGCAGGGACGGAAATGATGCCGTCAACAGGAACGGGCCCGGGCCATGACAACTGAGAGCATGCGATGTGACATGGCACGCCCGGCGCTTCCCAATCAAGAATCGCCGCTTCCCTGACAAGATCGCCGTTCCAAAGCAAAACCTACTTGTGCTTAAACAGGCGGTTTTTTTGCACCCTTTGGAAGGTGGAGGTATGTAGATGTTATGTACCACCCAACGGCATGCGCAGGCTTTGTCTTGTGAAAGAGCCTGACAAGGAGGTACCCGTAGCGGTAAAATCGAGACACACCCGTGTTTGTCCATGGAGTTGAGTGGGAGAGGCGGTTTTCAAACCGGGAATTTCAGTCGCAGACAAATTTCCCGCAATGGAGAGAAATCCTTGATAATTGGAGTTGGGGCACCTAAACCACCCCCCCCCCCGCCTCCCCTCCCCGGCAACCGCAAGGTCGCCTTGTGTTTCTTTTCCTGGGAAGTCGGGGAAGTGACACGTACATCACTGAAAGCGTCGTGCATAAAAACTAATCCCCGGTTGGTTGTTGTTTCATATAAAAACCCGCAACAAAAACCATTCGTCCAACTCCATGAGTCACACATGAGACAAGAGTCGCCGGTGAGCACCCCCCATTGTTTTACTGGTGGTTTGAACCCGAGGGACTGTGTTTCACCCCACTTGAGAGAACAGACCCCCAGTGAGTCGTAGTCAAAACCTGGTATTAGCATGGTTTAAGAGTACAAAAGGCGGCGCAGGCACCCATTTATGGTTGGCATGATCCCTTACGAATCTTCATCTACCCGGTTTTGATGATGGCCCAAGTTGCCCTGTTCCCTATATTCTTGCCGTAAACTGGTCAATCAACTTAACTCAACTCCGGCCCGCAAGCACCGAGCCGCGCTCGTCGACCGAGCGGTTGCTTGAGAAAGTCAGGAAGAACAAACATCAAGTCACTGCTCCATTTTCCATGTCAGCGTCATTTTTCCGACACTACCCGCCCATCCCAAACGCCACAGAGCCCCCCCTCTTTGGGCAAGGGCCGCGATTTCCTGAGTTCCCATGCGGAGTCTTTGGAAGGCAGTGGCTGCAGCCGCCCACTTTGAGTCCACCATGAAGCGCGGCAGCAAGGCCCGTGAAGACCTAGCAGTGACTTGAGACGGTGTGCTTGTTGAGATAAGTTTGGATGGAAATAGATGGGAACAAACCATTTTGTTTTCCGCTGTGCACAGATCATATAGGTGTCCTCTGATGAAGGTTTTGAAGATGTATGGATTCCGCTGATTTGAGTTGTTCGTGCTGCAGTGGGAGCCGCCTTTGTTTTGCAAAAGACTCGGTGTATGACCCCGGAACGAGTGGCGATATTTGGAATCCAATAGGTGCAGGTAGGAAGAGAAGCTGCTCGCTAGGAGCTTTGGACATCTTGCATTGACAACACCCAAGTAAATGAAGGTTGGTAAGGGACAGCCCCAACGAGTTGTTTTTTTCTTGCGGCCGCCTTTGTAGTTCTTTACATTGGTTTGGGTAGGCCAGGTTTTGATTGTGACTCATGTGTAACATCCAGTACCCGGATTTACTGGGCTCCGCACTTGGGAGAACGCCAGGATATCTTTCACATCGAGGCGCGCAGGAGCGTCAGACAATTGCGATCACACCCATTGTGAATGTGGATGTGGATTGTGAATTTAGGGGTTGATGCCGTATGACTTCCAACCATCCGTCTTTCAAATCTCCAGCCAGATCCAAATCTTTCTGGAAAAACAACCCCAAAAGCAACACAATCAAACTCCGGTTGTTTCCAATATGTGTGTTGCCAGTTTTCCAAAAAGACTTGGATCCCTGCAACGAGTGGCTTGACATGGCAGGAATCTGTCAAGAAGATGGCCCCCTTTTCAGACCTTGGTGCCACCTTGTGCGCAAATACCAGCAGCCCAACTACTGCTTTGTGGGCAGTACTTGGGACTTTGGACATGGGAAAAATCATTTGTTGGGGGGTGCTGGTAGTTGGCTTGCCTGTTTGACCGGCTCAGCAACCTGTCGAAGACGCATAGGTTTGTCTTATGTCCAACCTCCAGTGATCAAGGGTAGTAGCTATATGCCCCTGCGGTACGTATGAATAGACCTTGTGCACCCCTTGTACATCTATTGTTCGTCCTTTTTGGGCGTACCTCCATGTGTGTGTTAGGTGTTTGAAGCGAAACCAAATGGAACACCGCCATTTCGGGGGTCCAACCTAAAAGAAAAACGCACCCAGATGCAGCTTGATCCCCCTCAATTGACATCGTGTTTGAGGTCAGGACAGCCCTAGGACGTCGCACCATTGTGTTTTAAATGGGGCTGAAAACTGCCATTTGGTTCTTTCGGGAATCTACCACTACTGGAAACACATTGTTTCAATTATTTGTTAATTGTCCCTTGTTGGTTGCAAAGGGCATTTATCACTGGACACATTTTCTCTTTTCTTTTTTCTGCGTGGGGCGAAACACGCAAATGGAAGAAACGAGACCCATTTTGAAGGGCCAGACCTTGGATTTTGCAATTTGGAGGGCCCGCCAAAAAAATATGTGAGACCATTTTGTGTCAAACAAACTCGGCGTGGAGGCCACACCTCAAGCATTCGGAATTTTGGAGAGCCCTAGACTCAAACCCATGCAGGGTACTTGATGTCTTCCTACGTCTACCTGGGGGTTGGTCAAAAATTGTAAATCAACCTCGGCACTGAGAAACACGGGGCATAGAGTGTCTACTGCAATTATCTTCAAGCGAGGTATGTTGGTTCGGCATGGAGAGGATTGGGATTTTCCATCCGTCCTGCCTGGCTGGCGTCCGGCGTCTCTCGCAGATTAGGGCCCAATGGACTGGAGCATGGCCTAACCGTCAGTGTCTGAAGGTTGCGGAGCGCAGCGCGCAAGCAGCAAGCGCTTAAAAGCGTGTGTGTACCTTTTTCTTTCTTTTTTTACCGGATCTAGCGGAGAATGCGGCACCCTCAGACTCCATGTGTGCAAACATTTTACGCACTTGCTCTGCGCGCTCTTGCACCACTTGGGCCGCCAACGTGACGCACCAAGCAACCCAATCCAATCTCCATGCAGACTCTTGCAGAAAACGATTGGCGCACTGTCTCCAAGAAGTCACCAAGGCCAAATTGAAACCTGAGGGGACCCCTTGGAAGACAATGATCGGGGATTCTCAAAGAGAGACTCTCTTGACATGTGTCTGGGGGGGGGATTGGGCTGTTGGGGAAGCCGGGGTTTTCCACTAAACCCCCAAAAAGTTAAACTGTTTGCAGGGAGGTCAACAGCAACCAAGTATTGAGCTTCTGGTTGGGGACAATTGTTAGCTGTGCGTATTTTCGTGAGGCCTTTGTGCTCCGCTTTATGGCGGACTACCGGGCAGGGAGACCCAGAAATGGCGCGAAATCAGGAAGCCAAAAGGAAACGCAACGCTTTTTAGAAGCCTCCCTTTGCTCTTTAACAGCTCAACTCTCCTTTGGTGAATTAATAGGGAGCTGCTGCTCCCCAAATAGTTTTGCCCAAAAGTGAACTGTGTTCAGCCTGGAAGTTCTTTATCCAAAATCGGCCGTTCCCGGATTTATTTCGGATGCCTCCCGTGTTGGGCCCAGCAACAAGTCAGTGTGTCTATGCTTGGGAGTTGTTATTCTGTGTGGAGGGTGGATTGAGTGAAACCACACGGAAAGTACAAGTAGCTATATTTTGGACTTGGCATGCTTTTTGGTGTGGCTTCAAGGGAAAATCAAACAAAAAGTTTTCGCTCAACTTGGTTGTTTCGCCAGGTTGGTTGTTTGGTCGAAACGAGACTTAGCTGTGTATGTCATGGCTTTACTTTGCCGGCCATTCAAAGTTTCATGGGCCGTTTTCGCAGGATGAGAGTTCTTGATTGCGTTGCTGGCTAAGGCATGCACAGGGGCTCCAGTGTGCTCGAAACTGCGGGATGGACCTGGCTGTCGATCAGGCAAAGCTCAGTGAGGAACGCAGGCGGCGGATCTGCAATAATCAGCAATTCTTTCGGCGAGGAATTTGGCTGGCAGGCCAGAAAGTTTTCGTCGAGAAATCCAACGGGCAGGCTGAATAATTTTCGGCGAGTTCCTCCGCGAGGGGCTCTTCCAAAAGTCAGGATCTCGGCAAGCAATCTCGGCGAGTTGCGCTGAGCGGCTTGGCTGGCTGCAAAGCACGAAATAGCACGAAAATCTCTCCTTAAGGCCCAGTTCCACCAAGCCCTGCTTTCGGAGAGGCCCTCGCAGAGGGGGCTCTCCTTGAGAGGGGGGTTTGGCCGACTATTGGGAGAGAAACTTGGGGCGCGATGCAGTCGCCGCTCAGCGCAACTCGCCGAGATTGCTCGCCGAGATCCTGACTTTTGAGAGAGCCCCTCGCGGAGGAACTCGCCGAACATTATTAAGCCTGCCCGTTGGATTTCTCGCCGAAAACTTTCTGGCCTGCTAGCCAAATTCCTTGCCGAAAGAATTGCTGATTATTGCAGATCCGCCGCCTGCGTTCCTCACTGAGCTTTGCCTGATCGACAGCCAGGTCCATCCCGCAGTTGCGAGCACACCTGGAGCCCCTGTGCATGCCTTAGCCAGCAAACGGCCCATGGGATTTTGAATGGCCGGCAAAGTAAAGCCATGACATACACATCTAAGTCTCGTTTCGACCAAACAACCAACCTGGCGAAACAACCAAGTTGAGCGAATGTATTTTAAAGGTGTACCAACCTTGTTTTTGTTGCACCCACGAGCCTTCTTTTTTTCGCCCCTGCACTTGTTTTTCTCACGCTTGATCCGCGTCAAACGAACCCTACACCAAACCCAACCTGAAACAACCCAACATCCACCGAAAGCCCTAACTATCTGTAAACAAACCTCAAACCAACCATAAACGCACCCTGTACCAACCCCAACCCCACCCCAAGTTCACGCTAAACGAGCCCTAAGCAAACCATAAACATCTCGGATATATCCAACTCTAAACCCACCCTAAGCCAAGCCACCCGACAACGCTACACCAACCATACACCCACCACAGACCCACTCGAAACCACCCTAAACCATACAGAGCCCACCCGTAACCAGCCCCAAACCGACCCTAAACCAACCCATCAAACCAAGTAAGTCAACTTACCGGCTCCAAAAGAAATTGGGGCGCGCTGCGCAGCTGAAACTGCCCGTGGAGCAATTCCGATCATTCTGCGGAGAGATTCTCGCCCAAGACGGGCGAGGCGTCGATCGCAGCAGCGCGGCCTTGCAGGCGTATCACGCCCGGGGTGCTTCCGCCGCAGCCTGCCAAACTGCAGCGGCTGATTCTGGCGCCGCGCTCGCCGGCGCCTGCAGTTTCATCGCCGCCGCCCAACTGCTTGCGATGGTCATGGTGCAGTTGCGTGCGATGTTGACGTGCGCCTTTAGGAGTTGCCCAGGGGCTAGTCGACATATCGCAAACAAACGCGACTTCACACAAACACGAGCAATCGCAAGCGCAACAACACATACACGCGCACACACACGCCGAGGCACGAGAAAGCGCAAACACAACCAAGCGCAAACAGACAAGAAGGCGAAAACGCAAACACGCAAACAGACACGCCCACGCACACCCAAACAAACAAACAAACCCACAAAAAACAAGCGCGCAAACGTTCAAAGACACAAACACGCAACTACGCAACCAGACAAACGCGCACGGAGGCGCACGTGCGCGCACACGCAAACACACAAGCGCGCAGACATGCTGCCAAGCGCAAGAACACACACAAGCATGATACGCAACCAGACAAACGCACAAGCACGCAAAGAGACAAACGCGCACACAGCCAAACAGACACACACACACACGCAAACGCACAAGTACGCAAAGCCATCAACACAACACACCCGCGCGCAAACAGACAAATACACAGAAGACAAACACGCAACCACCCAACTATGCAAACGGACAAACGCACAAACACACAAAGGCAAAACAGAGCCAAAAAACAAACACACAGACACGCAAACACAAACACAAGCACACACACACACACAGACACACACACACACCCACCCACCCACGCACGCACGCACGCACGCCCGTACGCACGCGCACGCGCGCGCGCACGCGCACATGCACACGCACACGCACACACAGACACACACACACACACACGCAGACAGACAGACAGACAGACAGACAGACAGACAGACAGACAGACAGACAGGCAGGCAGGCAGGCAGGCAGGCAGGCAGGCAGACAGACAGACAGACAGACACAAACACGCACACACACACAAACACACAAAAACCCACGCAAACACAAAAATATGCAAACACACAAGCGCAAAGCGCACACGCACACGCACACGCACACGCACACGCACACGCACACACAGAGACACACAGAGACACACAGAGACACACAGAGACACACAGAGACACACACACACACACACGCAGACAGCCAAGCAGGCAAGCACGCCAACGGACCAACCCGCGAACGCACAAACACGCAAACACGTGAACACGCAAACGCGCAAACGCACACACACACACACCACACACACACACACACAAACACCCACGTACGTACGAACGTACGCAAGCACGCACGCACGCACATTCACACGCGCACGTTCACACACCCACAGTCACACGCGCGCGCATGTGGCTCGCAACAACCCGTGAAGTTGTAGAGAACGAGGAAAAGTGGCTCCCATTCGGGCGGCGCAATGCCCGAGCTGCCTGGGGTTACGTCAACAAAACACCAGCGAAAAGAGCGGAACCGACCATCAAGAAGTTGGGCCTGTCCTGGCGGGCGCTCCCCGCTGGTGTGAGCTGGGCGGAGGGGGCGGCCCGCGCCTCATGAAGAATTTCGGGAGGTCACAGGAGGTCGCAAAAATCGGCTCTTGAGGTGCTGCAGAGTCCCTCTTTTCCGGCGGGGACTGGGTCAGCGCGTTGGGGCTAAGGGCTCCGAATAGCGCAGAGGGCGTGCAAATGTCCACGCTCCTCGTGTCTGCTCCATGGGTTTTACATAATGATTTTCGCCCTTTGTGCAAGACGAGGCGCTGCTTGGTCACCCATGCTTTCGCGTGGGCACCGCGGCACCAGCTCTGCAGCAGGCCGGCCGCACGAAGGTCTTAATATTTGTGAACATTCCCTCAATCCTGCTTTAGACAGGCTTCTGCTCGATGAAGGTGCTCGAGCGTGGCGATCTTTAGTAGCCCGGCCCAGGAACAGCCGCAGCCTGCGGGCGCTGAGCGTCCGCAAAGTGCTCGGGCGACAGAGCGAGAGCGGGAAGCAACTGCCCTCCCGGACGTTCCGCCTTGACCGCACGCGGAAAACGAAAGGCTGAGGGGGTAAAGCTTCCCGGCGCCTAGCTTGTCTTTTGCCTTTGCTCGCTCGGGCCCTCCTGCAAGCCCTTCTCTTCAGCCTTGACATTAAAATTTTGCGCGGCCGCCGCCAAGCGGCCAGCTCCCCAGGCACCCGCAAATTTTCGGCCCAAACCTGAACCCTCCCGAAACCCCGTGTAAGCCCACCCCTAGTCAACCTTAAACCGCAACCTTCGCCAGCCCTAAAACAACCCTAAGGCCGCCGCAAGCCCAAAGCCTTTGCCCCAAACCACCGCTAAACCAAGACTCACAACCAAACCCAACCCACCACAGACCTACCTTTAACAGCTCTAAGCCATCCCCCACCCTCTCCCAACTGTCCGTGGGCAAGCGTCTGCCTCTCACTATGCTTGATGTTGCAGGATTGGGAACTCACATCAGCTTCACACATCTAGCTTCAATGCCTAGTTTGGCGTTTGTTTGGTCAGTGTCCTCCGAGCCGTGAACAGAAGAACGGACTCTTTTAAGCCCAAATTTTGAAAATCGTTTTGCTTTTTTGGCGTCCTTTGCCTTTTTTGGGTTTTCTTGCTTTCGCCTTGGCTGACCGAATGCTACCCATTATCGAGCCTTCAGCTTCGGAGCAACCCTTCAGGTCATGAGTCAACTTCTGCAGCACCAGTCACCACTCACCCAAGAGGAACGAGCGCCGTCGTCAATGGTTGGACATACACTTCTTTCTGGCCAAATATGGAACAGATTCCGTTCAGTCCCCAGAGATTGGCCCAATCCCGATGTGAACTTGATGTCCATCTGTCCGGATCCCCGAAACTCCATTGGGTTGGTCTGCGTGGCCGACCTCTAGAAATGGCTGACGGAAGTATGCCAAACTCGGCCATGGGTCCAGGTCTGCGCACACTCAGCTCCAACAAAGTCACACCCACACACCCTCAAGCACTGAAGAGTTGGTAGGTGCATGTCATCAGTCGAAGCTTTTGCCGAGCTTTGCCAAGCGAACAGTTCGACCATGAATCCAGTTCATGCGCGCACTGGTCGGATACTACGGTAGACTGAGGATTGAGTCTTGGGTCAGACTAGCTGGCATGACTGGGCATGGGGTGATTCTTCTTCGCGTGTTGTTTGCAAGCCTTTTTGCTTCGATCCCCAAAGATCAGCCGAGCTGCATACTTGTGTACAACGAACAACTTGCGACAGCGACACCCTAACGAGCGCTTGGCCTTTCACTTGTACCGGGGTCGGTCACTGTCACTGTATGAATCCCTTTAAACTGTAAATAACTCCCAGCGAGAAGGGTGGCAGTTGGGGACACCTCAACATCCAGCAAGGTCTTTGTGCCAAATCAACCCACCCCAAAAAACTGGTTCTGTTCCATCAACAACCCATCAACCATCAGCCCACAAAATCAACCCACCTAACCAGGCGTGCCCGATTTGGTTTCCCCTGATGGCATGTGTCACCACGAGCGGAAATTCCCTGCAGGCATCCATGGAAGCCAGGGCCCGACGTGAGATTGATCAGTGTGTGCTTCGGGATCGGGGGTATGAGGTTCCTTGCCCCCACTAAATGAATGGTCAAGGCCCAATTTGGATTTTGATAACTCCTGAACAGCAAATTGTGAAATTGTGGGGGGTTATACAAACCCCTTTGCTTTGATGGTGGCTTGACATCCAGGGTAAGGTTAATGAGTTGGCAAATGTCAAACTTTTAGTTGCCAGGTTCTTCATCATTTACAGGTGGTTGGGAGGGAGCTAAGGGGAGCTGGGGGTGCCCAAGTTGTTTTTTGAAGAGCGAGCTAACGAGCTACCAAGCTCAGGAGTTCTGTGAGGACATGGTGGAACTTGTTTCAAAACCAGTCACGCAAGGCTATGAGTCTTGCAGCAAGTTGTTATTGAGCTCATCGGGGGGTACTGGGGGATTCCTTAGCGGTCCCCCATCTGGTTGCATTTTGCTCGTGCTTCTTGATGAATTGGAATGCCAACCAGGCCTTTTCGTTTACTTTCAGGGGATCCCTAGGTTTATTTCTTCCAATTATGCTTAAGAATATGTGCTATTTTCCCACTTGGTTTTAAAGGGAATCTATCACTATTTGTCCAGGGGGCTTAAGAAAATGGAAGATTCCCAAATCTTGATTACCTGAGAACCATTTGGCACCCATCGGTTTTGTTGCAGAGTTGCTTTCGTTAGGTGCTCCAGTGGCAGTGGCACAGTGGGCGTGTCTGCTACTCCTCCAAGAAAATATGGCGGTAATGTTGCCCCCTGGAAAGTATTCACTGCCCAGTTATTGATTAATCAGGGGTCCCGGTTTTTGTGAAGGAAAGGATTCCAACCATTAGGGTCAATACTGCCTCCTGGTGTAGTAGGGTGCCTTAACAAGTGGGAGGTGTACAAATCAGGGGTCGTTATTGGCCTTTGGTTTAGGTTTGGTTTCCCAATCCAAGGCACCCTCAGAAAATGATACGGGGAATCTCTTGTGGCCAAGGGTAGCTTGTCTTTTCTTTTGAGGTGGAAGCCCTTGTTTGGTAGTTTTAAAGGGAAATCAATCGGATGGGTTCCCCTAAACCAAACCACACCCATGTATTTTGATGTACACACACACACACCTTGGGTTTTGAACTTGGTTTCGGTTCAGCTGGATTGTAAAAGGTGCCTTAGAACTTAGAACACATCAACACCACCCCACCTTCCCTGTAGTTTCCCTTGGAAACAACCCAAGGGGGGGATCCTTGTGGCAGCCTGCAACACCTGCTTTTGTTCATGTCCAAAATCCCAAGTACTGTCGAAAAAGCAGTAGTTGGAGGGTGCTGCAGAAAGTTGCGCGAGCCCCATAGACACGCCCCAGGGCTTTGACGAACTTAAGGTCAGGTGAGCCACTCGCTGAGCGCAGATCGGTCTCCGCAGCCTGCGTCTCTCAGCGCGCCAAAGATCTTCGCGCCAATTCCTAGTGCAAGGCGAATGCCCACCGGATTGTCAGAGCATGGTCCCCCCTTTCTGTGAGTTGTTTGAGGTGAACCCATAAGCGAAAGGACCAGTGTTTCTTGTATTTGTGCTGTGTTGGTGCTCGTGTTTTGTTCCCTGAGAGCATGGAGGCTGAGGCAGGCTGCGCCGGGTGAAAACATCAGGGCAAGGGGCAGACCAGATCCCTGGTGTATGGGGGAACTCAAGGGCGGAGCGAGTGCTGGCAGCACCAAGCTTAATGGTGCATCGTTCGGGGAGCTAGCATGGTGTCAGGGTTTTTGCCAGCCACAAAGTGGAACATGCGACGTTACAAAAATTGGTCTTGTCTCATGCAGTTTCCTTTCCTTGGGACCCAAATTCTAGCCTCATCCAGGGCTCTTGAAGCAACCCTGTTTTTAGGCTTGCTTCAGAAGGGAAATCAAAGGTAGCCGCCGATTCTCGGATTCATTTTCCAGTAGGAGATAAACCATGATAATCCATGTGTGCTTTTGCTGTTTGGAAGAACCGCAAGGCAAGATCTTCCATCATGTACCGATGTTGCCATTTCTTGCTCCCGTAGGACACCACTGCTCGGGGTAGGATGGCGAGTGGTGAATGGAGCCGACAAAAGGCCATGGCCCGAAAAGTTCAGAAGAGTGCCGCAAGGTATCTCGCGTCCTGAGTGGGCGGACTTTAAACTTTTCTGGGAGGACCGTTTAAGTGGCAAACAAGAAATGTTTTTTTTGACCAATCCACTCAGGGAGGTCTTGGAGTCTGGGTTCCATTTCCCAAGATGGCTGTTTGGTACATTTATTTGAGCCACAGCCATTTTGGGGATAATTTTGCGACTTGAGCTGGTGGGGATGCTTCTTGCGCATGGCGAACTTACGCGGCTTGCCTCGAAGTTGCAGCCCGATTGCATGACAAGCGTTTTCTTCAAGGTGGGTGTTGTTTGGTTGTTTCTTGTGTTTCTGTTGCTTTCTTTGTTTTGTTTGTTTTTTGTTTGTTTGTTTGTTTGTTCGTGTGTTTCGTTTTTTTGGGGAGGGGGGTTATTGTTTATTTGTTTGATTGCTTGCTTGCTTGCTTGCTTGTTTGTTTGTTTGTTTGTTTGTTTGTGTGTTTGCTTGCTTGTTTGTTTGTTTGTTTGCTTGTTTGTTTGTTTGTTTGTTTGTTTGTTTGTTTGTGTGTTTGCTTGTTTGTTTGTTTGTTTGCTTGCTTGCTTGTTTGTTTGTTTGTTTGTTTGTTTGTTTGTTTGTGTGTGTTTGTTCGTTTGTGTGTGTATGTGAGGCTTTCCGTAAATAGCTGTATTCGTTTTTTAGTGGCTAGTGGCGGTGGTTATGTTGGTAAGCAAGTGAAACGCAGGCCGCGGAAGCTCCGCGGAAGCGGCGCGGAAGCTGCGACCTGTTATGTTCTTTCAAACTATTGGCTTGCCTTTAAACATGTTACACGCTGGTACCGAAAAGTTACGAGTCTCAAGCTGGATCTCGGAAAGTGCACCTCGCGTACTACATCTGTGTATGAAAAGTTCCAGATCAACGAGCTGGAGCTGAGAAAGTGGCCTTCGCGTACTACATTTGTACTAAAATTTTCGATTCTCGAGCCGGAGCTCGGAAAGTGCCCGACGCGCACTGAAATAAAAACCCCGCGCCTTTTCGTTATGTAAGGGGACGTCCCTTAACTTGTTTTTTGCTGGCCCAAACCATTGTAAACCGATACAGAGGAAAAAACGATACCCCTAGAAGCCATCAAGACACATGTCAGGTCCAAGCTGTTGTCGCAAACCCAGATTGCGGAATCAGACATTTGCAGGGCCCAAACCGATACCCAAACTGATGCCCAACCGATACCCAACTCATTTGCTGTTGTACAAATCAAACTGACCATGCCTGGACAAGAAAACGGTTTGGTTTGAACGATGCCCCGAACGATGCCCAAACGATGCCCATATCGCTGGCATAGCCCGCAAACTGGAACCAAGAGCCTGTCCCGGAATGTTCTCGAGATCTTGTAAGGAGATGCCTTGGTCTGGATCTGCTGAATCACCAATCGCAATTTCACAGCTGACCAGAGCAGATGAAGAGCATTCGCAGCTATGGATGCTGCAGAAGGTACGCTTTGCGCCGCGGAAGCGGCGCGGAAGCGGAGGGATCGCCGCCTTTTTTCCTCAGTGTTTTACGGAAACCCTCATGTGTTTATTTGTGTGTTCCGTCGTTTTTTTTTGTTTCTCCTGTAGTTGTTATTTCTTTGGTTATTTGTTTATTTGTTTATTTGTTTTGTTGCTTGTTTGTTTCTTTGTTTGTTTATGTATTTAATTGGTGTCCTTTATTTGTCTATATGAATTTTGTGTGTTTCTTTCTTTCCCTTGTTTGTTTGTTTGTTTCTTTGTTTGTTTGTGTGTTTGTTTGTTTGTTTGTGTCGTTGTTTCTTTTTTCCCCGTTTTTTTTGTTTTCATTGTTTCATTGTTTCGTTGTTTCTTTGTTTCTTTATTTAGTTGTTTGTGTATTCCTTTTTTTTTTTGTTTATGTATTTATTTGTTTATGTATTTATTTGTTTATGTATTTGTTTATTTATGTTTGTCTTTCTTGGTTTCTTTGTTGGTGTGCTTGTTTGTTTGATTAATTATTTGCTTGTGTGTTTGTGGGTTTCTTTGCTTGGTTGATTGTTAGTTTGTTTGTTTCTCTATGTGTTTCTTTGTTTCTTTGTTTGTGTGTGTCTTTGTTTGATTGATTGATTGTTTGTTTGTTTGTTTGTGTGTTTCTTTACTTGTTGCTTTGTTTGATTGTTTGCATTTGTTTGTTTGTATTTATTTGTTTGTATTTGTTTGTGTGCTTCTTTGTTTGTTTCTGTGTTTCTTTGTTTATTTGTTTCTTTGTGTCTTTGTTTTTGGATTGTATTTGTTTGTATTTGTTTGTTCGTTCTTTCGTTCGTTCGTTTGTTTGTTATTTTGGATTGCGACGCAGCTTGCTTGGCTCCGCAAGTACCGGCAAGTGTCATTCCCCCTTTGCGTTACTTCCAAGCCGAGAAATAGTAGGACAGGATGTTGCTGAAGCTTGCATTGCTTGTTTTCACAATGCTTGCTGCTTGCCTGATTTGGCTTGTCAGGAAACGGTGCAGGTTGACAACACTAGACAATTGTATAGAGCCACGATGGGGTCAAACTGTGTGCTGAACAGGCCCAGAGCTGTATTGGTACTGGAAGATGGGTTGACCTTTGCCAGTGCAATGAGAGGTCAAGATGCTGCGTAAAGTTCCTTCCTCTCCGAACTGGTGGCTCCAGCTGGTTCAGCAAGAATGAGCACACAATCACTGGGCAAGTGACCAGCATGTCATTGTTTCAGAGGTATGTGCATTCATTACCTCCCCCCACCCCCGGGTACCCCCAGGCCCGCGCTTTCAGAAAACTCAGCACTCTACAAGCAAGCAGGCATGAGTACCTGGGACCTTCTTTTTGCAGCAAGAATTGGCCGACCTGGGGCATTGTAGCAGCGTACCTCTTTTGTGATGACTCAGCGGTTGTGGGACTCCCTTGGTCAAGGTAAATGACTTCAATTCACAGATGAGACGGCCATGAATGCCAATGGATGGAGAGGATCTAAATCCAAACATTCAAGCCCCTGATGTCCACCAAGTTGGTCCAAATCCGCTTGACCATCATACCCATTGTGTATCAAGTTTCTTTGAATCCCTGGCCAACGCACTCTCATGGATCTATGTCGGACGAGGCGGTGCAGGCCGGATAGGGACCTGCTCCAAACACTCGCCTTTTTTTAGGGTATATTTTAGACACCCTGGCTTTCCATGGTAAATACCATCTGTTTGGTGCATGTTGCTTGGATGTTAGGACTTTAACTATTTGCTGACTAATGGGTTTTCCATTAAACCACTAAAAGTTAAACGTTTAGCAGGGGAGCAGAAAGCAACCGAGATCTGTTTTAGTCAGGGGTCGACATCATCCGCTATCATACCGTGAATAAAGTGGGTATTGAGCGTAGGGGGGATTTCAAAAAGCCAGACTCAGAGCCCACTCGGAACGGGAGCCGCTGCAACATCTAATGGTGACCATTACGGACCTTGGGCAAGAAAGGGTCACAGAACCCTCTCATGGCTCCCTTGTAATCTGCGTTTCTTTTTGTGGGCTGGGTAAATGGATAAGGAGGGAATAGAGCCCAGTTCTGCGGTAGGTCTGTGGTTTGGTGTCCTGTTGATTTCCCGCTAACCATCTAAAGCAGGTCCACAGTGGGAAGTACCACATCTGGTTGGGAGTTTGGGGTTGTCAACTTCGCCTTTTGATGAAACTTTCAATGAAATTCGACCTATCTCACAGCCCCAAAGTACTATTTGGCCGTGTCTTTTTGTAGGTCGGACCTTTTTTGCGGTGGCTTTAAAGGGAAACTCAGAGGAGAACAAGCGCTTGGGAATTTGTTTGGCTCGAATCTGAAATAAGCCCGGTCGATGCTGGTGACCGAACTGTCGATGCTGGCAACGGCGGCAGTATGTTCAAGAAACGCACCCTATACGCCCATGGTTAGGTCAGGCTTGCTCCGGGCCTCAAACCCGAGATAACTACAGCTGGGTTTCGAGGACCTTAGAGATGAAGCAGGTTTTGGGACGGGACCGTAAACAAACAAACCATCAAACAACAACCACGCGTTGGAGAAACAAATCTAGGTTTGTCTCACTCCATGGACTTGATTAACCAGTTTGGGGAGATCGATTTAGTGGTGATAGTGGGGCCAAATACCCCCCAAAACAAAATAAAAATCGAAGAGCGCTTCTTGGCGGTAAACGTCTTCCCCGACGTTAAGGGCGGAATCTTGCTCTTTTTGCTGGCGACACGGGCCCAGAGGAAGGCGAGTCCGACTATGGACAGCTCAACCAGAAGCGTTTTCAGTGAAGCCCAGTCGGGGGGAAATCGCAGGGGTCGAGACTTTCTGGGTCCGAAAATTTGTTTGGTCCCATTGGATATGGCGCGGCTTTAAGCGATTCTCGACCACGGTTT